AGCCTTTTGAGGCAAGCTGGATTCAGCCTTGCTTCTGATTTAGCAGCTATTCCTCAGCTAATTGATAAGCTATATCCAACGTAAAGGTTATTAGTAACCCCAGCTGCGTATCACTAGGCTTAATTAGAAAGACTGACCACCCACTCAAGCTGCGGTGAAGCAGGGACAGCACTATTTATATAGAGCTGGGAACTCAATACAGGGAGAAAAACCCTAGAGAGAAGAACAAGGGTAGTTCCTAGCTGGGAAGAGCCTCAGGAAGTCAGGCTGAGTCACTAACAGGGACCAGAGTAGACTTCTGTGGTGGGAGCCATGAGATAGAGGCTACAAGGAACAGGGAGATCCTCAGAAGTAAACTGCTGGAGTCCCTCACAAAGGAAAGCAGTGGGAGAATCTTGCTGGGGAGTAAGTGGTTGAAGACCATCTCTGTAGGGGCCAGGAAGCAGCAGATTTCAGATGAACCTAAGAGTAGCAGAGGAACTATAAGTTTGGACATTTTGTGAACTTTCAGTTGGACCTCCAGTACCCTGGGGGAAGGGAGTGAACTCTTATGTGATTAGGCCAGAGGGTGGAGCCAACAAAAAGCCACAGAAGGAGTCAAGAAAAGATGCCAGGTGAGACTGGTGGCCATTCCAGAGCCAAAGAAGTGGCCCCTCAGGGCAGGTATGTGAGATGAAGGCCTCTTCAATGCCATGTCTGGGCACAAGGGGCTACCTAAAGGTGAGGACACATGCTTACAATGGGTTTACTGATAAATTCTTAAATTAGGGTAGTAGGGGGGACCCAACCTTCCAAGAACCTTTAATCCACTATGTCAGTAGTAGCCATCTGACCCTCAGCTACAACTTGCTTGAACTGCCTTCATCCCACAGAGACAACAGCCACTACATGTGTTCATGGAGAAGTTTAGCCTTTGAGCTGCATAGTTGTGGACCTACTAGTCGTGCTGCCACCTTAACTCTGATGCACTGTTATGGAAAAGGCCATAACTCTGTGGGGACAGAGGGATGTAGCCCTACCCTCCCACTTCAGCCTCTTCTTGGCCTGGCCAATGTGTGCATTAGAAACATGATGGTTCCTGGTAGATCCTCTTGCATGGAGAACATGGCAAATTTGGCCCTGTCAGATTCCAACAAAAACTGATTTACTGTGGCATATCTTTGTCTGAGGTGGTGAGCCTTATGGCTTAGGGAAGCATTTAAAAATTGCAATGATTCTATATGGGTTTCATTTTATTTGGATTTGTGTCCTATGAAAAGAGGACTCGCTAAGCTATATTGTGATAAGCATCCTGCAAAATAAATTACTCCAATTCAACCCTTAAAAAGATATGGGGAGATAATGTTTGTGGTATTGTGTATTTACATATACATCGGTAGAGCTCAACAATGTAATCTAACAGTCTGTATTCTGTTAATTCAGAGATCAAAAGAACTTCTTTACATTTAAATGAACTGTAAACATAGGATATCTACTGTATTCATCTCTCTTTAAAATGTATAGCAAATCATCTGCAAATGGTGGAAAAATAAGCAATTGCCTTATGTTAATTAGTGTAGCTAATTGCTGTGATGCTTGGGAAATTGACCTACTTCAAAGTTGCCCTAATTGCCGATTGTTGGCCTAAGGACTCTGATCTGTCAAAGAAGGCCTGGAATTGTATAAAAGACCCTTGGGTCCTGATCCTGTCATCTCAGATCTGCTTGAGGTTTCAGGCAGGGGAAGCCTAAGCCGCAAAGACTGAGATCCCAATTCTAACTGGAACGCCCTGAAATATAAACATTAGACTATAACCTATGGACTATTTCTGAAAGAACTCTTTGCAACTGAAAAAGCTCACCATCTCTGCTATGAATCTGAACCTATTCTTGATTGAACTCATGTCTATGCATACTCATAACCATACTCTCCCTTTTTCTTTTTTAATAAATGTTAGTTAAGTTAATAAGACTTGGCTATAAGTGTGTATTTGGGTAAGATCTGGAATATTCCATTACCTGGGAGGTAATGTGTCTGATCCTTTGAGATTGGTAGAACCCTTTTCGTATGATTTAAGATTTTCATTAATCCTCATCATAACTGACTTCGTTGACTAGGTGGAGGCCTGAGGCTGGGTTACTTTAAGGGAACTGCATTGTTGACTTCTGAGTAACCAGTGAGGTATAATAGCTTTACTAAGTCAGCACAAGAGAGCTTCTAAGTATTGGACTATCCACCAGTTTTGGGGATTGTCTGCCCCATTCTTTGCAGTTCACCCTAACTGACCTCACCTGGCTCCCCTGGGATTCCTGTCACACACACATTTAGTACAAAATTTAAGAAATAATTCCCATTCCAAGGTTTTTTTTCTTACAAAAAGACACACACTGTATGATGTTAAACAGGAGTCTTGTTTTGGCCACTATTGAACAAGAAACAGAGCAGGTGTGGGGGTGGGAGAAGCGTGATGGTACTGTCAAATTCCATTTGCTTTTAACTTTGTCAATTATATAAAAATGGCACCTTTAGCCATTGGCTTGCACTGTTGTTCTATATTTCTTTATTACACTTTTGACTCCTCCCTAGAACTAATTATTCCTATCTTATTGATAAACCTACAAAAATCTACTCTGTACCCAATTCGGCAGTGGAGCTGGTAAGAACAATTTTATTTCACAAAGCATGCTGTTTTGTCAGAGACTGAACACTGTTTCAGAGAAATGTACTAGTTCCAAAACTTTCATCTGGAAGGTTTCTTTGTGGGGGAGGGAGTGACTGACTGACTTTACTGCTATGTGGTTAGGGTACTGGCCTGAGATGTGGAAGAGACAGGTTCAAGTCCCTGCTCTGATTCATCTGAAGTGATGTGGGATGGGAAAACTGTTTTGAATCAGGCAGAGCAGCAAGTTGAACCTGCATCTCCCACATCTCAGCCAGTACCCTAACTACCCACAGTTCCATTTCTGCAAAAAGTTCTTAAAGTTCTCAATCTAATGAGAAACCTTGAAGTTGCCATTAAATGGAATTGTCGTTGTCTGGTCAATTCTATTCAGCAGTATATTTTAGCTACATTGAACTACAATGACACTGTAAAGCCGACATAAATCTGAGCTAACCAGCCAGGTTTACAGTTGCTTTGCATCATTAGAGCAGCACAACATAGCTGCAGCGTACCAGTGAATTTGGCCTTCTGTAATAATATGTGCCTCCAATCTGGTGCAATATCACAGAACCTTTTGGATAAAGAATTAGAATGCAGACACACAGAGACCACCCACATTATTTGGATTCTAAAACTTTGTTTCTAGAGCCATACACTGCTAATTTTTAACATAGTATTGATCTGCATAGTATTTCTAGTACAAGGAAAAAGTAGTGTATTTCTCATGGACTGAGTGCTTGGTTTCAATTTTTCTTCTAAAGGCTATAGCAACCTGAAATTCATACCTGCTAATTACTTTTCCCATTTGCACTGTATGTTGTAAAACACAAGAAGTTAATATGGTCAAAATTTACTTTTCTGTCTACAACTTGTTATATCACATATAAATGTAAGCCTGATTGGCCTCTAATATAGGGAAATTCATTTGAATCCTACATTCCCTGTGTCATAAATATAAAGGGAAGGGTAACCACCTTTCTGTATATAGTGCTATAAAATCCCTCCTGGCCAGAGGCAAAACCCTTTCACCTGTAAAGGGTTAAGAAGCTAAGGTAACCTAGCTGGCACCTGACCCAAAATGACCAATGAGAGGACAAGATACTTTCAAATCTGGAGGGGAGGGGGAACAAAGGGTGTCTGTCAGTCTGTGTGATGCTTTTGCCGGGGACAGATCAGGAAGGCAGCCTCAGAACTTCTGTTAAATTAGTAAATAATCTAGCTAGAAATGCGTTAGATTTCCTTTTGTTTAATGACTGGTAAAATAAGCTGTGCTGGATGGAATGTATATTAAGGTTTTGCCTAGAGGAATTCTCTGTTTTTGAATCTGATTACCCTGTAAGGTATTTACCATCCTGATTTTACAGAGGTGATTCTTTTACCTTTTCTTTAATTGAAATTCTTCTTTTAAGAACCTGATTTGATTTTTTCATTGCTCTTAAGATCCAAGGGTTTGGGTCTATGTTCACCTGTACAAATTAGTGAGGATTCTTATCAATCCTTCCCCAAGAAAGGGGGTGTAGGGCTTGGGGGGGGGGTATATTTTGGGGGAAGACGTCTCCAAGTGGGCTCTTTCCCTGTTCTTTGTTTAAAACGCTTGGTGGTGGCAGCATAGGGCTCAAGGACAAGGCAAAGTTTGCACCTTGGGAAAGTTTTAACCTAAGTTGGTAAGAATAAGCTTGGGGGGTCTTACATGCAGGTCCCCACATCTGTACCCTAGAGTTCAGAGTGCGGAAGGAACCTTGACACCCTACTTATAAATAAAACAGCAGGCAAACCTAGGATAAAATACTGATTACAATGGAGGGAAGGAATTGTTCTATTTTTACTTTCCTCTGAAGGAGGCGGCTTCCTTTTAATTTTATACCCCTTTATAATTCTCTTAATTAAAAAAAGCCCCCACCATCTCCTGTTGTTTCTGGATCCCTGTCTCTGCATGAATTAGTAAGTCCCAAGGTTGTGCTTATATTCACTGGCAGTGGACACTTAAAACGCTGCATTGGTGAAGTGAGATAAGTGCGGAAACTTTTCCACTATTTTCAGTGAGCTTTGGAGCAGACCCTAAATACTTAGAAAGAAGTGTTAATTACAATGCTGATACATATTTTTTTCCTCTACAGCAGAATCTTTTCTAAATTGCTACTATAAAATGAACATTTCTGGTGGGAAATTAGATGTGCAAAATTCTTACATCTTCAACGGTAATAATTCTTTAGATTTGTGTTTTTGTTTTTTTTTTTTTAAAAAGCAGTTTGTCCTAGAAAGAGCAAAGTGAGGTAGTCTAAAGCAAGACTAGTCTTATCCCCTATTATCAAATAAAACTGTCTCTATAAATTGTTTATTTTAATATAATAAGACCTACCTTCTCTGCTAACAGCTCTCTGATCTTGCTTGCCTGGAGACGAAATTTCATCAGCTGTGACTCCAGAGTTACACACCTTTCTTTCCAATTTCCAGCTCCTTCTGACTCTGAAAAATCTGCCATACTTATGCTGGGGAGAAAAAAAAAATCAGATTGCCTTTAATATGTCTGGGCCTATTTTTTGTATACATACTAACCTTGATCTTAGGGGATACTTAAAACTTTTGTACATAGCTGTTTTATAAAAGCAGGGGAAAGTATGATGGCCTACACAGGCACTTAGAATAAAGGGATGTTTCATACTAATGTTTACTTGTATGTATTTTCTAAGTTATTACAGAGCTGCAAAACATTTTCCATTGATAAATGGGGAAACATCAACTGTCTTAACCTTTAGCTACTGTACACTATTCTCATGCATAGAAGAAATCTGCAGAGAACTAAGCCTCTGTTAGGAAGGAAAACTCCTTATGGGGGATAGTAGCAGCAAAATAGTTAAAGTGGAAGCTAGCTTACTGGTTTAAAAACACAGCTGTTAAAGTCCTCTAAAATCCAAATGTTTACTGGGATTTTCTTGGAAAGTGCTGTGCCTCATGAGAGCTGAGGCAGGCCCAGTGGTCCAAATTTGAAATCAGTTGAGCAAGGGGATTCTGAGATACAGGTTTGTTTGTTTTTTAATTAACATTAAAATGTTACTGGTGGGTGGTTTGTTTTTAAACACAAACATCCCGAATAGAGAGCCCTAGTCTAAGACTGACACTGACTAAAGTGGTGCTCTAGCCCCTGCCCCTACAAATACACCATCTCCCAACACTTCCTCCCCACGTCTACTCCATCAGGCTGAGGGAGTGGGATCCAGGGCTTCCCTTCCCTCCACTGTTCACTGAACAATGGAAAGAACCAGAACTCCACTCTTTCCCCAGGCTTCCTGCAGCAGTGGGGAAGGGGCTCCACACTCGCCCTTCCTTCTCATGCTGCTGTTCCTTAGGAAAACAAAGGTCAGAGTAGTGCAGGAGGCTGGGAGGAGGAAAAGGGGTGGGATCAGTTATACAGTAAGGGGGACATAGGAGGGGCTTCAGTTCTGCCCCCAAAAAACCTGCACTATCCATAGCCACCCTTTCTGTCCTCCCTTCTAAAGTACTCACCTTGCCCCAACCCCTTCACTATTCCTGCATTCCCTCCCCACCTCCTCAATTAGTGGGAAACCTACTGATGCCTGCCCCTCTGCAGTACTGACAACCCCAAAAGTTCAAAAATCATGAGTGTGATGGGGGGGAGGGCTTCTCACACTGGCCCTGAGAGGGTTGAATTAGGCCACACAGGCCTAATCAACCAACTAAGCAGCAAACAGGATGTAGGCTCTGAGGAGGCTGCTGTTTGGAAGCAAGCTCACCTGTGAGGGAACAGGTGAGGCTTATATAAAGCCAACAGACTAGCAACAGATAAAAATTGCAGGGTGAAGAATAGCAGTCACTCTCCTTGAGGCAGTGTGTTCCCCAGGAATTGAAATGGGGGGAGGGGGTGTTCGAATTTACTGGGGGGGGGTCAGGGCTGATGAGGGGTGAGACCGTGAGGGTGAAGGTGGGCTGTATGGCACGATAGTAAAAACTGAAAAATGTTTCATGACCATTTTATTAGATTTAACTCATGTTTTAAAATCATCACAAAAATTAGTTGTCTACTCGAGCCTTCTATGAAGCACTACATCTTCATCCTTCTTGGTTTCTTGTTATAATTTTGAACAACTCTGTTAATGAACTTCTTGAATGCGTTGCGTTCATCTTTGGTGGCTTCTCATAGGTCCGGTACTTCCATTCTTTCATTAGTTCATTCACATGATCCAGCAGAAGGTGACTTCTTTCAGAACACAAAATTCTATTCAGTGATGAAAAAGAACGCTCAACCGTAGCTGTTGTGACTGGGAGTAGCAAGAGATTAATTCCTACTTCTTTCATCCCAGGAAACAAAGCATAAAGATCAGGTCGAGCCACTAGTGATGATAAAAAAGAAGTTGAAGTGAAATCTTCATTTGTTCGTCGTATGATATTCCACTCTGTGTTCAAATTCTCTATTCTGTCCTGAGCACATGGCAGTCCCATTGCTGGTAGTGCCTTACTCCACTCAACTGTCGATGTTTTATGGGACAGGGATCTGTAAAAGCTACGTAGAGGTTGAGTAGAATCTAGATGTCGCTGTCGTAGATTTTTAAGAATCAAGTCTGTGTACTTTTTCAGTTGTCTTAACAAATACTACTTGTCCTCTTCACTTAAGAAAGCAATATAAATGACTTCATTAGTCAACTTCTGGACTGAAGTCTCTGCTTCTTCCAGTACTTTTTCAAGGGACAGATCACTGATTATCCAGCAATAGAAGCTACATTTGGATCAAAGATCTACTACTGTTGTAGCAGATGCCTGAATGGCATTGTTTAATGACCCAAGTGTTTCAACAGTAGACTTACAAGTGAGAGAATGGCAGTAGTCTTCTCTGAACGTAGTAGCAAAAGTAATCCACCAGCCTCACTACTTAGATCCATCCCATCTTGGTAGATACTTTCCAAAGCCAGTAATAACGGCTGGAGAAATTTTAAGACAACAGCAAAGGATCACTCTTGAGAAAGCCAGAGGGTTTTCCCAGGTTGGCCTAATTTGAACTTCAAACCCAGTGTATCTTCTATATTTTCCAGATATTCAGTCTTTTTGGACTCTTGCTGAAAAACTAATATAAAGACATTAAATTTATAGCTTTTAAATGTCTTTTAAAGAATCTGCAGCTCATAATGGCGCTAGTTTGGAGTAGATGGCCTCTGCAGTGTGCACTGGAGAGATTAGGGTCACACTTTTCTCTGAGCAAAGCTTGTACTCCACCATGTCTTCCAGGTTTCAGAGTAACAGCCGTGTTAGTCTGTATTCGCAAAAAAAGAAAAGGAGTACTTGTGGCACCTTAGAGACTAACCAATTTATTTGAGCATAAGCTTTCGTGAGCTACAGCTCACTTCATCGGATGCATACTGTGGAAAGTGTAGAAGATCTTTTTTATACACACAAAGCATGAATAAATACCTCCTCCCACCCCACTCTCCTGCTGGTAATAGCTTATCTAAAGTGATCACTCTCTTTACAATGTGTATGATAATCAAGGTGGGCCATTTCCAGCACAAATCCAGGGTTTAACAAGAACATCTGGGGGGGGGGGGGGGGAGGAAAAAACAAGGGGAAATAGGCTTGAATAGAGACTGGGAGTGGCTAAGTCATTATCAAGGTAACCTAAGTTAATTGTATCCAATTTGCAAATGAATTCCAATTCAACAGTCTCTCACTGGAGTCTGGTTTTGAAGGTTTTTTTTGTTGTAATATCACACCTTTCATGTCTGTAATCGCGTGACCAGAGAGATTGAAGTGTTCTCCAACTGGTTTATGAATGTTATAATTCTTGACATCTGATTTGTGTCCATTTATTCTTTTACATAGAGACTGTCCAGTTTGACCAATGTACATGGCAGAGGGGCATTGCTGGCACATGATGGCATATATCACATTGGTGGATGTGCAGGTGAACAAGCCTCTGATAGCATGGCTGATGTTATTAGGCCCTGTGATGGTGTCCCCTGAATAGATATGTTGGCACAGTTGGCAGCGGGTTTTGTTGCAAGGATAGGTTCCTGGGTTAGTGGTTCTGTTGTGTGGTATGCGGTTGCTGGTGAGTATTTGCTTCAGGTTGGGGGGCTGTCTGTAGGCAAGGACTGGCCTGTCTCCCAAGATTTGTGAGAGTGTTGGGTCATCCTTCAGGATAGGATGTAGATCCTTAATAATGCGTTGGAGGGGTTTTAGTTGGGGGCTGAAGGTGACAGCTAGTAGCATTCTGTTATTTTCTTTGTTAGGCCTGTCCTGTAGTAGGTGACTTCTGGGAACTCTTCTGGCTCTATCAATCTGTTTCTTCACTTCCGCAGGTGGGTATTGTAGTTGTAAGAATGCTTGATAGAGATCTTGTAGGTGTTTGTCTCTGTCTGAGGGGTTGGAGCAAATGTGGTTGTGTCGCAGAGCTTGGCTGTAGACGATGGATCGTGTGGTGTGGTCAGGGTGAAAGCTGGAGGCATGTAGGTAGGAAGAGCGGTCAGTAGGTTTCCGGTATAGGGTGGTGGTTATGTGACCATCGTTTATTAGCACTGTAGTGTCCAGGAAGTGGATCTCTTGTGTGGACTGGACCAGGCTGAGGTTGATGGTGGGATGGAAATTGTTGAAATCATGGTGGAATTCCTCAAGGGCTTCTTTTCCATGGGTCCAGATGATGAAGATGTCATCAATATAGTGCAAGTAGAGTAGGGGCGTTAGGGGACGAGAGCTGAGGAAGCGCTGTTCTAAGTCAGACATAAAAATGTTGGCAAAGTGTAGGGCCATGCGGGTACCCATAGCAGTGCCGCTGGTTTGAAGGTATACATTGTTCCCAAATGTAAAATAGTTATGGGTAAGGACAAAGTCACAAAGTTCAGCCACCAGGTTAGCTCTGACGTTATCGGGGATAGTGTTCTTGACGGCTTGTAGTTCATCTTTGCGTGGAATGTTGGTGTAGAGGGCTTCTACATCCATAGTGGCCAGGATGGTGTTATCAGGAAGATCACCGATGGATTGTAGTTTCCTCAGGAAGTCAGTGGTGTCTCAAAGGTAGCTGGGAGTGCTGGTAGCATAGGGCCTGAGGAGGGAGTCTACATAGCCAGACAATCCTCCTGTCAGGGTGCCAATGCCTGAGATGATGGGGCGCCCAGGATTTCCAGGTTTATGGATCTTGCGTAGTAGATAGAATATCCCAGGTCGGGGGTTCCAGGGGTGTGTCTGTGTGGATTTGATCTTGTGCTTTAGATAACGTACACAATGACAATACTTGATGCCCATTTGCATCAATGCATTCATCAGCCCTGTATGCAAATTTTTTGAATGTGGTGAGAGTTCTTCACTTTTTCAACTGTTGAATCTTTCACTGTTGCACCACATGCTTCTAGCCAGTCAGCTGAGCTTCTTGCAGAAAGATAGTGAGCATTTGCTGGTCTTGTTCGGAACCAGTGTTCAACCTAAGGATGAACAAGTGACAATGCACTTAACATTGGCCTCCAATTTGTAGTATCTCTTACTTAAA